ACACACACACACACACACACACACACACACACCCACCTCTAAAAGCTCTGTTGGAAGGTTTGTCCTCCCCACCATCAGAAACGGCTGAGTGGTCAGTGAGTGACCCCCTTTACAACTGCCACTGGCAACTTGAGAGGATAGCTATTCTTATCTGGGCCCGACCCATGTGAGGTGGCAGCCAGGCAGGTTCTCTTTCTCACACACATGCACGCACACACACAAACACGTGCACACACATGCACACACACGTGCACACACATGCACGCACATACACAAACACGTGCACACACACACACATCCCTCAGCATCTCTTGAGAGTGCGTGACATGAAAGACTGTCATTGAGAAGGGAGGTAAATGAGCAGCAGAGAGAAGAATGTCTTTAGCATGTGAATGATGCAGGATTGGTTTTCTGGGTGTAGAGGGAGAGATGGTGGGAGGAGAACATATGGAGGTGAGAGAGGGGGAAAGAGAGCGAGAGAGAGAGATGTCTTGTAGAAAAATAAAAAAGTTAAATACATAAATTTCAGTTGATGTAAGGTCAGAATTACTGGATATGTGTGAAAAAAGTCAAATCAGGTGTACTCAATACTTCTCTTTGAAAGTAGTTTTCTGTAATGTTCTACAATGATCTGCAAAATAAAACACACACACACACACACACATATGGGCTTGACTTTGTGGCCTCAATGTCAAAGACACTGTTTGCACTATAGAGCCGGAATAATTAGTTGGTTTACAACTATTTTGATCATTGATTGCTTGTTCAGGATTTCCACAGGTCTTAAAATGTCTACAAAATTGTTAATTACAACTCTAAACCACCCAATCAACCAGCCAATGTCAGGGACCTTTGCTGCAAGTCAGTTGTCGTCCTGATGAGCAGACAAAAGGAAATTTCCCACATTTGTATAACTCATAGTAACTTTGAATCTGATGCTTTTACCAGCCTTAGAATAAGTTAATACTGAATTAAAATAGCTGGACAGTGAGCAGTTCAACCCGGGCATACTTGGTTTCATAATGTTTATTGTCTTTACTCTAAATGAGGGTCATATTAGCGTTTGGTTGACGAACATGGAACTTCTCAATCGTGCATTAAAACTTCCTTATGGTTTTACTCTTATTCGTTATCCTTCTCTGTGTTTCAGGCCCTCTCTTTCTTCCTCACAGCCTTTTTTACACATCAATAATTACATGCAAGAAAAACATTAACACACACTTAGTCCTTTGAGTGGCAGGCGTCCTCTGAGTGATTGGCATTGTTAATCCCTGATGTCACACAACAGTGCAAGCTCTTTTGTCTAAGTGTATTTGTGTGTTTGTGTGTGCATGTATGTTAACAGTGATTAATTATCATCCTCATGCTGGGGATCTCCTTAGGTTATTGATTACGTCATGAACCAAACCCACAGGGGGATGATTTTCTCGCACTAACAGGGATCAATTAGTGTCTGGGGACTTGTTTACTTCCATGTTAGCATGTTAGTGTGTGAGCACATCCGTATGTGTGTGTATATAATTATGTGTCACATGAAAAGAAACATAGAATGTCTCTAATTTTAATGATACTAGCCTGGAGTCACTGTCACCACGTATCACACTGCTCAACATTAACACTTGTTCCTAAAAGTTGGTGAGTATCTCTCTGATATTTGTCTTGTGTACTGCTCTTTCCTCAGCATCGGGGCTCTGATGCGACGTGTGTTTGTGTTGCGAACCATCAGCATGGTCTTCCAGAGCTCTCTGCTCACTGTGCTGGAACCATCACCACTCATGAAAGGTGAGAAACAGAAATACAGTCACAGACAAGACGACAAGCAACAACTGAACTGGAACCCAGTGTCAAAATGATTCTATAGTTCAGTTCGTCAGGTGATTGCATCACTGTTGCATTTACGTCTGGCGTCCACTCTACTCCACAGTTTTTGAGCCCCTGAAACAGAGACTTTTGGAAATGCTGCAGGTCTTGTTTTAGTTTCTATACTCCAGGGCTGCGCTTTAGTCTGGACAGACAGGACCTGAGACTTTTTAAAACCATGACACAGTCACGCTCATTGTTTTCTGATTGGATTTGGCATGATTTGATTACCAGCGGTAAATAAAAGGCATCGCTAATACTTCCGTTTTCCAATAGTCAAAAAAACAACTAACACCCACTAACATATGGGTTTTGTCTGCAATAGAGTGGACACCATTGGCATTGACTCCTGGGTCAAATGACTCTGCATTGTGTTTAAAGGAGTCAATTGTCTTTTCTTAGCAGGTTTAACCACATTAAAAAAAAAACCTCACACATACCTGCTAATTTTTATGTAAAAGACGATATGTCTGACAGTGACTGTCCAACCTTCTTGTCAGTAACACAAAAATACATTTGTGTGAAACACAAGTACAGTCATACTGACTGAACTTAAAATAAATATTTAGATTAGGTTAACAAAGATATAAACTCTCTCAGTTGCAGTCAGAGACTCAGAATTGTTAAATATGCTGAATAAAAATCATAATGCTCTACACTACACACAGTGAAACTGTGTTGGCAAGGAGGAGCAATTGTCACAATGATGCCTTCACCAGCAACAACTGAAAAATACAAGACAACACCTTCAGTAAAAACTGATATTCAACAACTTTTCTGCTGCATTGTGGGATTCTCTTGGGGTGTTCAGCCTCTGGATATTTGTAACATAAGGTGTGTGCTGTCCATGCCTTCTGATAGTAAGGACAGGTGCATCATTTGATATAAAGGTTAATTAACATCCACACAGCAGGACTTAACAATAGACCTACACAGTGACAGCTGTAAATCCTCCTATAGAGTTACCCTCTATCCTCAGTCACATGTGTCAAACTAATTGGATTCCATCAGTTCCCAATGGCAGTGGCTGCCAAACTGGGCTGTGGTCCCAAGAAGTTGTTGAGGGATAGGAAAATCAAGAGAGAAGAATCATTTATTTATTTATACCACATATAATAATGTCTTTTCTCTACTGTTTTCTTTTAGTTCTACCTGTACAGGTATAGAATCAGAAATCACAGCTCCATGTACAATAGCTTGTCAATGTGAAGAGGGGCAAGATGTAATAATTGTTCAAACATATGTAAAACAACACAGATTTCCAATCTGACAGAACTATGTTAAGAACGAAAGGATTTCCAAAAGTTTCTAAAATCGGGTTGTGAACCACTGGCCTGCAGTACAAGCCTTTGAGTCAGATGTTCAGCATTAATACAGCACATGAGTACATGATGCAGAGGACGTTGATAGACACATGCTGTCTTTCTCCAGAGAGCCATTCACTTGTTAATGTCTGAATGACACATCTGATTCTGTTGCACAGCCAGTCGCAAAGCATTTGGGGTTTCGAATCCGCATCATTCATCTCTGTCGGAGTTGTCTGTTCCCCTATCAAACCTCTCAGACTGAAAGTTGGGGCCTTTCCCTCCTCCACTTTCAACCCAGAACAAAGATCTCAGGAAAACTCAACTGTGAAAAACATTCAGTTTCAGATTTTTCAATATTACATGATAACCCCTCCGCTTCCCGCTCTTCCAGTGTGATCAGTCGGTGTATCTGTGTGACTCCAACAGTCTTGTGTCGCTGACTGAAGAGTCTTCGGCAAAAACTCTGGCGGCTTGAGTGAATAATTCAGTGTTAGCAGGAGCAGAGACAGATAGGCTCTGTGGTTCCTCTGTGTTTCCCCCACTAACACTGCACTGCCACTTCCCCTCAGAGGATACACTGCTTGTGTTTCGGGGACAAGGGGGAGAGGGGCTGGTGATGGGAGAGAGGAGAGGAGACGCTTCAACGTCTCACCGTTTACAACTGCTTTGCCGCTCTGCTTTGACTCGAGCAGACAACCATGTAAAATTGACAAATTTCTGCTTCTCATAGTAAAACTTACCGTAGTGTTTCTCAGTCGTGTTTTTCATTGACTGTTGGCGTGTGTCCGTCCCCTCAGGTATGGCCATCCTCAGCATGAGCGTTCAACACTTCCTGGGTGGTCTCATCACCACGCTCACCTTTACAACTATGATGCATTGCACTCAGAGGGCAGAGGAAAGCATTCAGGTAAAAAAAATACTTTTCTCACATACCTGGCTTATTCTGTAGACCCTTGTTGCTGTTATGTAATAATTCTGATGTCAGTTTATTGTGGTCTTAGGTCGTCTCTTGTGGCTTAACAAACAAACAACACAATCTTTTTTTTCTTTTCCCTTCTTCCTCCCCTTCTCTTCTCTCGTTGATCTTGGTTTAATTATGCTATTTTGTAATGTTAGATCAGGGTCCTCTGGTTTTCATAGGGAGGCAAATCATCAGCGTACAGTACCACACCTACTGTCACCTACACCTGTCAATTCTCATCAGCTGTTTCCACCTGGAAAACCTCTAAAGTCAAAGCAGACCCAGTTTCTATTCATCGCTTCTATTCTTTTTTTGTCCCCCCCCAGTGGCATTGTCTCTTCTACCACCTCACTCTACTTCTTTGTCATTCTCTAGTCCTTTAAATGCTCTCTTTTCCACTCTGACTTTTTCCTCTCCTCTTTCGTTTTCTCCTCTTTGACATAACTCCTTTTGTCCCTGCCGTAACTGGGCCATCGCTGCCTGGAGGTGATCGTTGTTCGCACAGCCGTTCAGACGTCACTCATTCAATCTGAAGGTGACAAATTATCATTTAAATTGCTGTCACTCTCAAAATGGAGGAGGGTGGAAAAAAAAGAAATCACAGGCTGCTGCAGTACAGATATCGGCATCTTGTTGCACTTAAACTAAATAAGAGGAGAGAACCAATCACAACATATGATGATGAGAACCAGGGAGGGTTGGAGAGGTTCTCATGACACAAATACTTGTTTTTTAGTGTGTCCCTGTGTGTGAATCTGTGTGTATGTGGAGGGGAGAGCATTAGCTCACCTGTACTCTTGTACTTGTGTGTGTGTTGTTGAAGGTAGCGCTATCCAGTAACAGAAAGCTGATAGTGTGAGTGCTTGTTAACGATCCCCAGGAGAACGTAACCAAATCTGTTAAACAAGTTGCTCAGGATAAAGGCACTTCACTTAGCCGTGGTCACAGCGGCTCTCAGAGCTCTCTACTTCGGCCTGCAGACCTTCAGCGACAGCTCAAATACAGGCTCAGCTCACCACCAGTTCCTCAACTCTAATGGAAGTGGATTCATTTCATTTTCAGTCTTTGTTTTCCAGTGAGAAACCTTCTTCATGGACTCCAACTTCAATTCGACTCATTGATTAATTAATCATCAAAAAGTTGCCAATTTCTATTTAGTCAATCTATTTACCGGCTAATTGTTGGTATTTTTCCTTTTAAGAAGGCCTTAAGCATAGTTTGTAGACAAGTAAAGAATTGCCTTGTTTAACCGGTGAGTTTAAATCAAGTATTAGTATTTCTTATATGTGTGATGGGAAGACGAATCGGCCAAATCAGAATTACTAGAGTCATTAGCGTCCATTTATTTTTTGCACTCACCTGGTGAATGTTGTTCTTTTGAAGAGAGGGAGGAGGCTCAGAGAGATTAGGTAATCACTGCCCCCCCCTCTCTCTCTTTCTCCTTCTCTCCCTCTGTTTCTCTCTCTCTTATTCCGTCTTGAAAGCCTTAAGGCTGGGATCAGATACTCTTCTACATTTGGCCGCCCTCCATCGTCTCAGGCCATGATCTCACGCAGTCTCTTTCAGGCTACCCTCTTTTTGTTTTTTGTTCAATCTTTTTTTCTTTATTATTTTTCTCTTTTACACGACCTGAAGAATTAAAATCACACATTTCCCTTGTTTTTCTGTCGGTTTAAGTAAATTATTTTGTGTTAAAGGTTTTAAAATTTGAATTAATGGATAAGTTGTGCTACAGAATAGAATAGACTTTTAACTTCTCCACCCATGTGACACTGTCCTTTTACTCACATTGTTTTTCTGTCTTTCCCAAACCCTCTCTCTCCCCCTTGTCCTGTTTATCCTCTCAATTTCATCTCCTTTACCTCCTCCTTTAAAAATGTTTTTTTTCTCATCATTCGTCCCCCCTCTTCCTCTTGGCTGGCGTTCTCCCTTCAGGCGACTCACTACAGTTTCTTGGCGACACTGGAGGTGCTGGGGAAGCTGACGTTCAGCGCTCTGGCTGGAGGTGTGGTGGATTGGTTTGGGTTCCAAGTTGCCTTCCTCTTCTTCCTCACCCTTTCTGCTGGGACGGCCCTGCATGTGTGGACGGCTACTTTCACTGGTGCTCTCAGGGAACACCAGCTCAAAGAACAGCCCAAATGAGATCAGGGTGAAAGTTTGTGATACGGGGGTATATGCAGGTGCTAACGTGTAGACACCTCACAGGTCCCATTTAATATACTCCTCATGACTTTAGTAAATCATCTAAGTACAGAAGAACAAGTTAGATTTCCTTTTTTCTATGTTGAAGGAGAAATCAGCCATTTGCTCCTTTACTCTAGTACAGAGCATAACTTTGATTTATTTCACTTTAAACTGGCCTTACATTTTATGTTGCAACATCTGGAAAAGTCTTAATATTTACAGTAGGGTTAGCATGTTGTTAGCAGAGTTTTTTTTGTATAGGATTCATGCAGTCAGCAGATGAACTGATGGGGTTTAATGTGCTGAGCAGTGATGTACAGTCATACTGTACGAGGGTGTTAGGAAATATAAACAGTTTTTCATGATCTGAGCCATGTTTCATGTTTTGATAAGCCAGCAATAAGACCTGTAGCCAAAAGCAATATCACAACTCTCTGATGCTTCTTCTATCATTTTGTGCTTTGTATGAATATGTGCTTCATTCCCATGAGTTCTATGGTTTACAGTTCTAAAGGTCTGAATGCACCCAAATGCATCCTGAATGTGTCCTGAGATCCAATCAATCACTCAGACCCTATTTGGAAGAGGTCTGGGACGCATGTGGCCACAGTCTTCTCGCTGTGTGAACCAAAATCCACACAAGGCCACATATGAGGGACCAGCCACTCAGCTGGCGTCTCTGACCCGCTACAGTTTAAATGTATTTTTGCTCTACTCAGTGTCCATACGTTGATTTGTTGATTTCTGCCACAATATCAACACAGATTACCACATAATGACTGATATTTTTTCTTAGATTCGAATTTAACTTGGTTGACTTATGGTCAGATCTCTCAGGATGGATGTTAACACCGGGTCTGAACAGGGCCTTTGTTTTTTTTAGCTGGTAGCCAATGTAAATCTTCAGTTACTGTCTGTTTTACAAAAGAACATTTCAGCTGTTGAATGAAGAACACTTATTCTGTTAAACCAGTCACTGAATTTCCAGAGTAAAATCCTGCTTTATTTTACAGGTCTCACCTTTTCTAGCTTTATTAACCTGAAAATTGAGCTCGTATTTAGCTGTAAATTGTTGTTTCAAGAAAGGCTAATGCAATATATGGTGCTGATTATACAGGAGACGGAGGAAGTGTTAGTTGCCTTTGTATAAAAAAAAAAGCTGGATTATTGCTGGAAAATATTGGAGCTGTAAACTAAAGTGTAACCAAAATCCCTTTGAACAGAGCAGGTCGACCCTGACAGTGAACTTACTTCTATTTAGGAAACCTCAGCCTTACACACTGCATGGTGCCATCTTGTCTCCGTTTTTTTACTCATTGACGAAAACAAAACAGCTCTCAAAGTATTATAAAATATACTGTAACTCTCATGGTACTGTATACTACAGAAAGTAATTTCCTTAAATTATGCTTAAAATATGAATAAAACAGCAGCACAGAATGTTTCATTTTCACCACATTCTGGGAGAATGAAATGTAATAATTTATGCAGGTGAATGTAATAGTAGAAAATAAGTCATTAGATCTAAATTAATTGTTAATTGTGCTGACAGGAGACAGGCAGCTGAGATGAGGACAGATCGATCTGAGCAAGTTTAGTAGAATAACACAGCTGGTCACTTGCTGTCGACTACATAATAAATAAAGTGATGTCATGGTCATCCACATGTTGCAAAGCACATCTCTTGTCTCTCAGCTACTGTGTCGCCTGAGATTTGCACAAGAAAATAAAGCTGCTGAGTGAATCTAGAGTCCCTTTCTTTATGTGCATGTGTGTGTGTGTGTGTGAGTGTGTGTGTGTGATAGAGAGAGAGAGAGAGAGAGAGACATCTTGTCACCACATCTTTACCACACTCTGTCCTCAGGGGAGAGGTCCTGTGTGGTCTTTAAGGACTGAAAATCCACTGTGGTTTACAGCGGCTGTGAGCACCGTCTCTGCAGTGTAGTGGCTGAGGGCTACAGTGAATAGGGCCTGTGTCACAGGATCTACAACCCATACAGCTCTAATGACAACAAACGCTGTGAAGGAGGATTAGGCCAGCTTACATAGCCCCTCAATACACCTCCACTTTGCACTTTCTCACCAGGCTTCATTATCTGGGTGGACTGTTTGTTTAGTGGGATCGGCGACACACGGGCAGAGAGGGAGGGTTTGAGGAGAGAGGCTTATGTTTTATCCACACGCTGTTCTCGGAGAAGAGCGAGCGGCGAAAACGATAGGTCTGTTTAGTTTGGTGTCTTTTGAAACCACAAGTCCTTAAACCTCTCAGTGTTGTATGGAATGGGGTGGGGCGGCGGGGACTTTTCTTTACAGCTGTCTCAGCAGTGTGAGATAATAATAAAAAATTGTCATACTATTTGTATAGCACTTATCTAAACATTGTTATGAAGTGCTTCACAAAATACATGGCAAATATTGACTGAGTAGAGATTAAACTGATTTAATTTTGGATATATTTCGAATCACTGACGTGTTTTCAAATTCAGTTGGGAATCGAATGTGATCCCTAGATTTTTAGCTGTTGTTTTTATATCGGTCGCCAGGGGACGGAGAAATTGTAGTAATTTGCCTGCTAGCTGATTATTTTTTGTTTTCTGTAAGACGGAGCAATCACCAGCTTCAGCTGACATCAATGGAGGAGAGTGGTTTTGGTTCTTTGTTCTTTGCAAAATCCAGACTGGAATATATTGAAAATGTTATGTCTGTCACACACATCTCAAAGTTGGGTTCAAGGATTTTGGACATGAATGGGGCCTATAATTCTCTTGGAGTGATTCATCAAGATTTGGCTTTTTCAGTATGATTGCTGGCTTTCCAAAATATAATCAGGGGTACAGCTGGAAGAAAGAGTGCAATTAATGGAAAAAAGAAGACACCAAACCGTCCAGAATTACCTCAGACTCACAACCAACAAGATCATCCACCTCCTCCACTCAGGAATGAGCATTTATTTACTTCCCACTAGGGATGGTGGAAAACTCCTGTAGCTGCTCTGAAAGTCTCACAACTTGATGAACTTAATGGTGAGTTTGTTTTGTCATTTGCTGTTTTCAAGATTACTAAAAATTACAATAAGACTCAAAACTCAACAGCAGCACGTCTCTCCTCTTCATGACTTTGGTTCCTCCACAGAGCTCACTGTAAACTGCTTTTCTTCTGTGGAAGGTAGTTCCTGTAAAAACAGAAAACAAATAAAAGGAGAAATGTGTTAACTGCAGGTTCATCTTCTAGAAGCCTGCAGTTTTAAGGCCTGTGCACACACGAGCATGAGCAAAGGTAGGTGGTAGGTGGTCTGAATCCTACAGTGCTGATGAGAGTGAGACCTCCCGCTGCGGTTGCCAGATTGGCAGAAACCCCCCTGTGGAGTGTCTGAGCGTGTCTCTGGGCCACCATCCCTGCCATGGTTACCATTGTGGCCACAGACCAGTAGATTTGATGTGCGTGCTCCCTCACATGTCGTCCGTTAACTTTGTTGCATAAGACCTCTAGCCAAGTGTGAGAGAAGCTGGCTCTATAGATCAGACAACGGGTGCTTCGCATTTAGTGTTATCACAGTATCAGGCAATTATTCAGAGGAAGCCTCACTTTGAAAACAGCATTGCACACGACACCTTATGTTCTTCCATGTGTGAATTCCTGAGCTGTTATCATCAGAGTTAGATTCCCCAATGTGGAAGGGAAGAAAGGGGATTCTTTTATGTCCACAGCTATTCCGTTTCACTCATTAACAATCAGGCTGGGGCACAAGTCTGGTCACATCACCAACTTTATACCCGTATCACACAGGAGGCGCAGCAAAAGGATAGGCCGGCTCATTCACCCTGTGCCAAGACCCAGCTGCTAATCACTGCGTCACAAGATGCATCACAATGGCACCCAAACAATACAGCACAAAAACAATGAGGCAGATTTTATGAGAGAAAGTTCACTGGCAGTTACATCTCTGTGCCCGGTACAGTTATCCCCAGGAGAGAGGGAGGGAGAGAGGGAGGGAGAGAGGGAGGGAGGAGAGGAGGGAGGAGAGGAGGTAGAGAATGCAACATGTTTTAATCTCAGCAAACAAAGGTGTTGTATCGCTTTTTTTCCCCTCCTTTGTCTCCGAGCGCCTCAGGTGGAGAGAGGTGTTGGCTTTTTGCGCTGCTTTTGTCCCGTGGCTGGCAGAATGGCCTTCTGGGAAACATGAGTGGGCAGGTGGAGGAGCAATCAGCAGCGTCAAGTGTCACACTGTTTCCTCCACCGGTGTTTACTTTTTGTTTATTTGCAGAATGAGAGACATGGACACCCCTCTCTCTCTCCCTTTCTCTCTCATTCTCTTTCTATCTCTCTCGTTCTTCCCACAGCTTTGTCCTCTGTCTTTCATATGAAAGAAGCACTATGTTGTTTTGCGTTGTTATTTTCTCAAGGTCAGTTTTTTTGTTTAAAAAAACACAAATATTTCAGACGTCACAGTATCTAAGAAGAATTAAATTACCAACAACAACAAAAGGTAATACATCAAAAACTTAAATAAACAAGCCATTATTATATCATTTTTTAATGTTCCTGAAATAAAATGTAAATGTTTCTACCACCAGGCCATCAGGTTTCTAAACTTTAGTCAACTCATGACCAACAACCCTCTACACATGTTTCCTGCCTGTTGGAAAAATGTGAAATAAGTGATACACACATGGTGCAGTAACTATACATACACAAATAACTTATTCACACACACTCCATACAGTTAAAGTTGTATGGAGTTCAACATTGCATTTGTTGAACCTGTGTTAACTTGCATATGACAAATACAACTTGAAACTATTATTTCTGTATCATTGTTACAATTGGCTTATAAAGGTACACACACATTTTACTTTTATTTTCTGAAGTTAAGAGCTCTAATTTCACAGGTATTGGATTTTTATCATAATTTTTTTTACATTTTATTGCCACACACTTGGTTGGACCTAACAGTTATATGTTAAACATTGATTCTTTGTGGGAAAGATCATGATGCAAAACTAAATGTGGATTTAGGGAAACCTTTTCAAACAAGTAGATATTACATCTACTATTCAGTTAGTAGGAAAACTCTGGGATAAGTCTCTCAGGAAGTTATTCACATAAAACATCTTCTGTTCAAACTTTTTAAATATAATATGCAAACAAAATAAATATACATTGCAGTTTTACAGTCATTGTAATTATATTCACACTTACCCACACAGGCAAAAGACATTAAAACAGAGAAAGTAGGACAGAGAGAGAAAGTAACTCAAATCAGATATCCAGTGATTTCAGTTGTGAGTGTTTGTGAGAAATCCTCTCTGATAATGATGGAAGATCTCAGTATCATGCTACCTGAAAACACGAAAATGTGGTTTCTGTTGCACTTGCATAATGGTTTATGAAAAAAAGAGATGGACATACATCCTCAAAAGTGTGTATATGTAAAAAAAGATAGAAGTCATATTTGTGTAGCTCATGCTCCTTCCACAGGACGAGGAAAAGAAACCAGAAGCATGGTTGACCGGGGTAAATGGAGGAAGTGTAGGATCGAGGTGGCTTTAATGCAGGACGGACAGAGGAGCACTGAGGGTTCAGTTTGCTGTTAGCTAAGACACAAGGGACAAGTTGTAACTTTAGCCATCGGAGAGAGGAACGCTGGTGTATTTTCTTCCACTGCAGGCAGGCAGATATCTTTACCTGGTGCACACACACACACCCACACACACACAAACACACACACACGCACCTCTGTTTGTAGATCATGTGACCTCATCACCTCAGTGGGAACAGCTCAGACTGACTGAGCTTGATGATTTAAATCTATTGCATTTTTACGGAGTTAGATGTGTTTTTGTGTCAAAAAACTCTGATGGAAAATATTAATGAGACAAAATGTCCCTGTTTTGTGTCTTAAAAATTGAAACACACACACACAGAAACACAGAGAAAATTTGCTAAACGAATCCAGCATGTTATCATTTATCCCTTTCTGTTATTTCAGGGTGTCAGATAATCCGTTTGGGAAAATTTTCTTTTTGGGAATTACCAGTACTTGAATACAGTTAATTTAAAACATACACACACACACACACACATGCATGTATAATCCTCTGATCTTAATTTAGAAACAGTCGTTCCATATTGATGAGAGCCTGAGTAATATTTTCAATTAGTTTCTGCAGAAATGCCATGAGTTCACCTTAAAACAGCCTCTGAGCAATAACTAAGCATGACCCCACTGAATAACTTAACATAAGAATAACTTGTATGTTCTTTACTCATTTCATTAATAATACACAGCTAATTCTCATACAGGATCCCTGCTCCCTGCCAACATAATCATACTTGTCTATTTTTAGGTGCAGGGCTTTAATTGGCATGAATATTCCAATGAGACAAAGAAGAGCATGTTGAAGATGGCAGCGTAAACACTGAGTGATTCTTTGAGAAAAGAGAAAGTATTCTACGCACAGGAGAGTAAACAAACGTGCACAGACATGAGTTCATCTCCATCATCTCACAGTAGTTTGAGGGAGAAACTCTGGTGATATGTCAGTGGCTATAGTATGTACACATGGTAAATGGTAAATGGATTGTATTTATACAGATCTCCAACCACTCAAAGTACAAGTCACCCATTCACACATACACACACACACATACACACACACGTACATAGAGCGTTCTGTATATTTTTTGGAATTCAGACTGGAGGTGAGCTGAAGGGATCAAACTACCGACCCTCTGC